CACTCCAAGGTATTATCAACATTTTTGGACCAACTTTTATCCATTTATTGTATCTTTATCAACGTTGATGCATAATATATTTAACGATATAAAATGTCGTTATCAACTTGGATGCAAGATATTATCAATTATATGCAAAATTATTGTGATCTGAAGGTAATTATCAATAATTGCAATACTCATTATCAACACTTTCGCATTTCAAAGTCAAGTTTATCAACGTATTGAGATATTACATTATAGGTTTTGTTACCGTTATCTATTTTTATGAAGGAATTATCAATGTTATGCACAATCTTTAATATTCACATTTTAAAAATCATTATCAATGTTTAGTATGACGTTGTTAAAGTTTGGAATAGGATTGTCAATGATTTACCATATCATTGTATGAATTATTATCTTATCAAATAATTATATTTTACATTGACGAGTAACATCACCCCAAGGTATTATCAACGTTTTTGGATAAAGTTTTATCCATTTTTTTTTGTGCATAGATGGAGGCCAAGGCCAAGAAAAAGGGGTTACAAGAGGAGATTACATAGCAGGAGAAGCATGAGCCACTATCCTGCGATCAAAAGAAACACCCCTCGCATCCTCCTGGAGGATCGAAACAAGTCCGGTAGGCGGGTTTGCAAGCTCGTACATACCGTAGGGATAGACGAGACTGTGCTTCGAGAGCCAGTCCGCGACTCTATTCCCTTCCCGGTACGTATGAGTAATGCGCACCAGCCAATCTTGACTGATCTTCCTCCGAATAGCTGACAGAAGTGTCGCGTACGGGTGCACAGGGTCATGTCTGTTCTTGAGAAGCTGGATGGCAAGCTGGGAATCAGATTCAAGGATGAGATCTCGACAACCTGTCTTCCACACCATGTCTAGACCATGAAAAATGGCCCAAAGCTCCGCTAGAGCTGCGGTCGCCACGCCTAAACTCGCTGCAAAGCCAACAATCCATCGTCCAGTCGAGTCGCGGAGGGCTCCCCCCGCTCCGGCTGCCCCGGGGTTCCCGTTGGAGGCACCATCCACATTCAATTTCATCCACCCAACAGGCGGAGGGTTCCACCCGATCGAAGCAACCGTGCGGGCAGCTGGGCGGCATCTGGAGCTCGGGAGAGGAGACGGAGCCAGCCACGCATCATGCCAAAGCTTGCTTTTCACCATAATAGAGTGCTCAAGAGAAGGAGGTGAAAGGGCAGCATTCACACCTCTATAGCAAGCCGTGCAACGGTTTTTCCATATGAGCCAAGCCGCGATGCTGAAAAAAGCAGGCCAACTAATCCCGGATCCTAGCTGCTCGCTGCTATTGAGATTCTCCCGCAGCCAGCTACGCTCATCCAGACTTTGAAAAGTATGGAGCAAAGTCCCAGGCACATGGCGAGTCCAGAAGTAGCAGGCTGGAGTGCAATCTCGAAGTACGTGAAGAAACGACTCCACCGGCTCATTACATCGAGTACAAACAGGACTGGGCGCCACTTTCCTGGAAAACAGAAGAGAGTTAGTCGCAATCTTCCCAAGCATTACCATCCACATGAAGCTTCTAATCCGTTCCGGAACCGGTAGTCTCCAAATGATCTTCCAAGACTTCTCCTCAGGGTCGGGAGGCCGCTCATTCAGGAGAGAGTAAGCAGACTTTGCCGAGAAGCGGCCATCCGACGACGCCGTCCAAAAGATCGTATCATCATCCTGCGACAAGTTATCCACGCTAATACTCAGGATCCTCTGGTGCACCTCTGCAGGGAGCAGCTCCGCAAAAAGATGGGTCTTCCATCTACCATCCTCGGTCACGAACTCCGCTACAGTAGCATTTCGTTGATGCTCCGGGATGGTCCCACAAGCCACTTCTCTGAGAGGAACCTGCAAAACCCACGTATCATTCCAGAACTTAGTGCTCTCTCCATTCTTAATGTTCCAGGCACAACCTTTCTTAAGAAGATTAGCAGCTTTAGAAATGCTATTCCAGGTAAAGGAACTTCCCTTTATATTTCGGATGAGATCGAGGTGCTCCCGCTGGCGACCGTACTTGAAAACCATCAGCTGAGTCCAGAGAGTCTCTTTCTCCGTGAGGAGCCGCCAACCGCTTTTAGCAAGCATCGCCAAGTTTGCATGCTTCAAAGATCTAAGCCCGGCGCCTCCTTGTCTCTTAGGAAGAATCATCTTATCCCAAGCTACAAGATGCATCTTGGACTTGTTCTCTTCATCTCCCCAAATGAAATCCCTGTTCATTCTATCAATACTCTTGCAAACTCCACTAGGAATAAGCTCAGTATGCATGCAATAAGTTGGAAGAGCAGCAGAGACTGAGCGAACAACAGTGAGCCGAGCGGCAAAGGAAAGCTTCTTCGCTTTCCAAGGCGCCAACTTCCTCTGAATTCGAAGCAGCAAGCCCTGGTAGCGGCTAGCAGTAACCCTCCCATGGATTGTGTGGAGTCCCAGGTACTTCCCAAGCTCAGTCTTCAAGGGGATGCCTGCACACCTACTGAGATGCTCTGCCTTCTGTCTCGCAACATTGGGGGAGACATACAGAAGAGACTTGTTGTAGTTAACCTTTTCACCGGAGCTGAAGCAAAAGTCCTCCAAGCATTTCTTGATCACCCTAATCTGCCTCGTCTCTGCCTCAGCAAAAAGTAAGAGATCATCTGCAAAAAAGAGGTGAGTTAGAGGGGGGCCATCCTTAGATAAGCGAATTGGCTTCCAATTCTTGGAATAGACTGCTTCATCAATCATATGGGAGAGTCTCTCCATGCACAAAACAAAAAGGTAAGGAGAGAGAGGGTCTCCCTAACGAACACCCCGGGTTGGGGATATAGGCTGGGACAACTCGCCGTTCCAGAGGATTCTCATCCGATTATGCTCCACACAATACATGATGCAGTTTATCCAGGAACTTGGGAGGCCAATCTCTCCCAAGGTATCCCGAAGAAAATACCATCGCAACATATCATAAGCCTTTTCCAGGTCAATGTTGAGGATGATCCCTCCTTTCTTCCCTTTCCTCCTACCAAGAGTGTGGAGTGCTTCCTACACCACCATAATGTTGTCAGTCGTTTGTCTCCCCGGAATGAAACTGCTTTGTCTGGGTGAAACCAGCTTCCTCATAATGGGCTTCAAGCGGCTCGACATGGCTTTTGTGATGGCCTTTAGGCTGACATTATTGAGGGAGATCGGACGGAGCTGAGAGACCACCTCAGGGTTGTCCACCTTCGGAATTAAAACCACCGTAGACTCTGACACAGTATGAGGAAGAGACCCCGAGGAGAAGAAATTGAGAGCCATATCCGTCAGAGCTTTCCCCACTATACTCCACATTTGTTGGTAAAAAACAGCCTGGAAGCCATCTGGACCGGGAGCTTGAAAAGGCTTCATGTCAAAGATCGCCTTGTGAATGTCCATGATGGTGAAAGGGCGAAGAAGCATAAGAAGCTATGCCTGACTGATCCTGGGGAAAGCATTCTTGGGGAGTCTATCTTCATACACCGAATCATCCTGCATGGAAAGGTTAGCAAAAAAATCAAACACAAGAGAAGCCAGCGCCCTCGGCTCCACTACCCAAAGGCCATTATCATCACGAAGCGCCTTAATTTTGTTGCGTCGCCTTCTCATGGAGACCTGCTGGTGGAAATAAGCCGTGTTCTGCTCCCCAAATTTCACCCACTTCTCTCTAGATCGTTGGAACCAAATTAGCTCCTCCTGCTCCAAAACCTTATCCAGCTCCTCTTCAAGCTTCGAGTGGAGTTTAGCAAGAGCTGGAGTAAAAAACGCAGAGAGTCTAGCCTCGATCCCTTGGAGACGAGCAAGGAGTCTTCTTTTCCTCCGCTGCACATTACCAAAAACATTGAAGTTCCAGTCCCGAAGCTTCCCAGCCAGGTTATCGAGAGCTTGGGGAAGAGGGGCGCCAGTATCCCAACTACCTATAACAAAATCCTCAAAGTTACTATGAGTGAGCCAAGCAGCTTCAAATTTAAAAGGATGAGAGTCAGTTAAGGAAGGCCCCTGAGTAGCCACGGTGGTAAGGATAGGGTTGTGATCAGACTGCAGACGAGGAAGGTGGAGAACCGTGGTATTGGGGAAGAACGAATTCCAAAGGAGATTACATAAGCTCCTATCTATCCTGCTGGCCTTGTAGGTATGATTATGGCTGCCTCTAGTCCAGGTAAACCTTGGCCCCGAGAAGCCCAGATCTACAAGCTCTGCTAGATTGATCCTCTCATTGAACTTATGGCATCTCCGAACCACAGCATTAGAGGGCGCACCAGTTCTCTCCTCCAAGGACCGAATAGCATTAAAATCTCCTGTGAGAACCCAAGGAAGTTCAATCTTCTTGCTTTGCTCAATTAGACTATCCCACAAAGTTCGTTGAAGGCTTTGCTGGGGAGAGGCATAAATTGCAGTTAGAACCCAAGAATCATGTCTTCCTTGACTAACACGAAGAGAGATATGCTGATAGCAGGCCGACAGGAGCTCGACTGAGAATTTGCCTCCATCCCAAAAAACCCAAATCCCACCTCTACGTCCAGCAGCTTCGACTCTAATGGAGTTGGGAAAGCCCAGCTTATCACAGATCGAATTAGCAGCATTTCCACTAACCTGTGGTTCCAAGAGAACCACGAAATCAGGCCGATGCTGAAGAATGCTCGATTTCAAAGCACGGGCAAACGCTTTACTACCTGCACCACCCACATTCCAGGCAAAAATTTTAAACAGAATGTTGTGCGACATAATAAAAGGCAGATAAACGAGAAGAAAAGAAAAGAGAAACAGGGGATCGAAGACACCAAGTTAGGCTGAGGGGGATCGCGGGTCTCCCAAAGGCGCCCCCTGCGAAGATTGCGTTGCTATCCCCTCACTCGAGATTGCTTCTCTCGACCAGTTCTCCATCGGACGAGCCGCCTCCGTCCAAGCTTGGATTTCTTGAAGGGTAAGAGAGGTTGTGCGTGTCTTGGATTTTGCTTTCTTATCCTTCATTGGCGACCAAATTTGGAGCGGCTTGGAGGAGTTCAGCTTGGTCGGAGATCCCTTCTTCGAGCGGCCCGAATTGGTTTTGCTTCCTTTCGTTCTAGCCATCGTCGAGGGAGGGTGAGACTCGTTCTTCCTGTGCGACGAGGTAGCGGGGGGAGTAACTTCCACCACCTGCAAATTGGTCCCGTTTGGGCCCACAAAGTAGGAAATTGGTGGAGGTGAGAAGGTCGATGCTGGGCATGGAGAATAGGCTTGGGCCCATTCAAATGAGCTTGATCGGGCTGGCCATGTGTTGAAACCCTCGTCTCCCTAGCAAGAGTTTTGGACGTTGAAGCATTATCAGCAGCAAGCATGGGCTTTGGCCCTTGTTTCACAGAGCTGTTCCGAGTTGGGCCCGACCCAAGTAGGGCCTTTTCTGATGAGGTCGTCTCCTCTCTCATTATCGCCTTTCCATTTCTCTTTTCCCCACCCCCAAGCTTGGCGCCGTGCTCTTTCCTTTCATGGCCTGGCGACCGTTGCGTCAGAGGAGGAGTCTGTTGAGACAAAATGGGTAAGCGATCATTAGTTTCCTTCAACTTGCTCACTCCCTTTCCATTTCTATTTGATTTTCCTTGACCGTGGTTCCCTGATTCCTTCTCCGATTTTCCTTTTCCTTGATTCTCCCTTGAATTCCGCCGGGATTTGCGTGAGACTAGCATCCAGGGGCCGAATCCCTGTTTAGTCTCCGACGTCTCCTCCGTCGGAGCCAGTTGGGTATCTCCGCCGCCGGCGGTCACGATCGCCATCAAAGAGCTTGGCCGGAGCAGAGGGCAGTCGGTAGACTGGTGGCCGATCTTGCCACACTCGAAACACACGGTGGGAAGATTCTCATATTCAACCTTTTGCCAATCATCATCCAGCCAAATCCTTGGAACCAGAGGCTTGGAAAGATCAACCTCCACCGCGAGCCTGGCAAACTTTGCTCGCTGTTGAGTAAGCGTATGATAGTCGAGCTTGATCGTCCTTCCGATCAAGTTGCCCAACGACGTAAGCACTTCTTTATGATAGAAATGGATTTTCAGGGCCGGCAACTGGACCCACACAATCATCGTCTTTGGGAGTGGGTCCGACAACTTGAATTTTGGAGTCCATTGTTGCACAACAAGGTAGTGATCAAAAATCACCCAAGGTCCATCGGTAAGGGCTTTGAAGTAGTCCTGATCATTGTTCAGCTTAACCAGATAGCAATCCTCATCCAAATCTCGGACCTCCATTGTTCCGGTAGGTCGCCATTGAGCACGTAGCCGAGAGCAGATGGTATTGAAACCAACCTTGATTCCTAAAAGCCTGACCACAAGAGTACGGTGCCAGGGAGCGCACAGCCTATTTTTGAAATCAGTCGAGACTCTGAGTGCTGGCTCACCATTTCGTTCTCCAGGAATTAGGTCGTGCTCCCCTACCGGTGTCCATTGGGTGTTCGAAGGATGAGCCGAATTCAGCGATGTCCCACCAGTTACCGCCTTGGCATAGGAAAAGATCTGGGCGTGTGTCGTCGAGGCGTTAGCAGCGGGTGGAGCCATCTGGGTCGTAACAGGAAGCTGAGCATCATTTGTCGCCATCCGGCTAGGCTGTTCACCTGTAGAGGTGACGTTGGAGGGGTCTGTCCCGGATTGTGAAATCGTCTGCAGGTTGAGAGTGCCGGTGGAATCGACCAGCATCTCCATCGGGGCTGTCGTCGAAGTACTTTTGGAGGGCGAGAGATTATCCCCAGGCAACGTTTGAGACGTCTCCGGGTCCGGCGGGCGTCCAGAGGGGAAAAGCGCTGGTGCCGGCGTAGAGTTTTCGTTCACACCAGTTGAGAGCATTTTCGTTTACTCAAGTTTTATCCATTTATTATATCATTATCAACACTAACGCATGGTATTATTAATGATAGTATTATTATTGTTGTCAAAAGAACATTCAATATTTTATGATATCATTATTAATAATTTTCTGTCGTTTTTTAATGATTATTAACCTTGTAGGAAGTTCCTCGTCGATGGTGATGCGAAAAATCAACCGACGAGTTTGAATCGTGAGTGAGACAACTTTCCATGGCGATGGAGAGTGCGGTGACAGCCTGGCAGGAGCAACATTATAGCGAGACGACGCGAAGTTGATGGAAAAGATGAAAAATACTAGTGGCTGGCTTGGGTTTGGGACTGCGACTGAGTTGGATTGGGACGGCGGTTGCAACGATGAAGTTCTCACCGATCACAGAGGGATGGTGGAGGTTCGTATGGCGGGATGGCGCTGCTGCCGTAGCTTTCTTTCTCGGAGGCGTCGTATCCTGGAACATTTCGCGAAGAGAGAGAGGGTTGAGCGGTTGCCGCCGGCCGAGGAGGAATCAACGTTTGTCATTTTTGGAAGAGGGTTACGGTGAAAATGAATTAGGGTTTAAATTCTTATTTTTCTATTAACTATTAATATTAATTTTATGTTCATAATACCCCATTTACCCTTAACAACTAATTAACTACTAACATTCATTTAACTAACTAAATTCCTATCAACCAATAGGAGTGCTTTAAGCATATGCTAAAACTTATAGGCTTAAGCACAAGATCTGACCCGCTTTTCACCTTGGAGGACAGGCGAGACAGATGAGCATCACTGAGTTCATAGAGGCACTCCAGATATACCCACCAGGATTTCTCACCACAGATGGACATGGTTTGATTTCAGAGAAAATATATCCACCAAGAGCACCATTGGTCCATAATGTGTGGAAAAGCTTAAACAAAGCCATGTGAAAAAGTGTAACCCTGCCCACTATAAAGGGAATGATCTTCTTCCCCCATGGCGTATCATCCAGAAGATTATCGCTCACTCTGTGGCAGCTAGGGAGGGCAGTTCGGGGAGTGTGACCAAGAGGGATTTGAAATTTTTCCTCTCTATGGTATAAGATCCCCCAATTCATCTTGGTTTAGTCAACTGAAAACCCTACAGAAGATGACCTCCAACAAACAAATCAAGACCATCCATGGAGGTGCCTACATCACAAGGCTAGCTCGCCATTTTGGCATCGATCCGGTGGGTGCTCATTGCACCATTGCCCAGTCCACTCAACCAATCTCCCAAAAAAACCTTGCGGACCTAGATTTGGTGCCAAAGGTAAATGTTCCAACCAACACTTTCCTTTTCACAGTGAATGCTACAACAAAACTAGTTGGGGTTCTAACAATCTAGGATTGATTTTGTGCAAGTTTTGGATTGCCTACTAGTCTAGTTCATTTTGAACGTTGACCAAATGTAACTAATGCTTCTGATATTGATCATGTTGTTGAGGCAAATGGTCGAGGAGACTCCGGAACATCCTGCACAACCTTACCAAACTACGACTCAAGCTGGACCATCCACCGACACATACTTATCCCATTTGGAGGCATTGGGTTGGCAGAATAACCAAATTCCGGAGCAAAATGTACTCATTCTCTCCCGCCTCGACCGAGAGAAGGAAGCTCGACGCTACATCATCAAATGAAACCATCACATCATGAGTTCCTTGAGGATTGGCTACAAAAAATTCCCAAGACCTTGGGAACTATCTCCTAAGCCAACCGAGGAAAGCAATGAAGAGGGAAGTGAAGAGGATGACGAGGGAAATTACGATGAACAAAACAAGGATAACAGTCAAGAGGACAATGACACCAACGAGGAAGAGGGTAGTGAAGATGATGACGAGGGAAATGATGATGACCAAAACAAGGAAAGAAATCAAGAGGACAATGACACCAACGAGGAAGAGGGTAGTGAAGAGGATGACGAGGGAAATGTCTATGACCAAAACAAGGAAAGAAATCAAGAGGACAAAGGGACCAATGAGGAAGAGGAGAGTGAAGAGGAAGACGAGGGCAATGTCGATGACCAAAACAAGGAAAGCAATCATGAGGAAAATGAGAACAATGAGGAAGAGGGCAGTGACTCTAGCGAGGTCAATGAAGATGAGCAAATCCAGGAAAACAATGACGAGGACGAGAGCACTGACGAGGAAGAGGGGCAGTGAAGATGAGCCAACCAAAGTCCTTAGTACTTAGCTATGTGTGTTTGCGTTTGTGCTTGTATGTTTTCCAATTAGAATATGATGATGCACCGGTGTGGGCTACATGCAGCTAAACTTAAGCATTAATTAGACAGATTTAATCGTGTTATGGATGCTTGTTTTATTAGACAAATGTAATGCTTTGATTGCTTTTTACTTTTTGTTAATTGGGTAACCCATCTGATATGATGTATTGTTACTAGATCTGTTCCTACTTGACATTCCTCAGGCAAATCTCACGGTTGTGAGATGTCCCGTGAGATGCAAAGAGCAGTTCTCACTATCCCAGGAAATTTCACGGCTTCTACTTGACATTCTCACGCCCGTCAAAATCTCACGTGAAATTGAAACACAAAGCTGCCACTCAAACGTTCTCAGAGCTCATTCTGGCAAAATAACGGCTGTGGAATTAAGATGTACCTACACTTTCTAGAGTTGTACCTTTACACTATGGTACAACTTAAAGTTGTACCTACACTTTCCCAAAAATTCTTCTATGGTACAATTCAAAATTGTACCTATACACTATGGTACAACTTAAAGTTGTACCTACACTTTCTAACAAATCCCTCTATGGTACAATTCAAAATTATACCTATACTTGTGGTACAACCTTATGTTGTACCTAAACTTTCTAAAAATCTTTCTATGCTACAACCTAAACTTGTACCTATACATGTGGTTACAACTTTAAGTTGCACCTACACTGTCAAACAAATCCCTCTATGGTACAACTCAAAATTGTACATAAACTTATGGTACAACTTAAAGTTGTACCTACACTTTCCCATAAATCCCTCTATGGTACAATTCAAAATTGTACCTATACACTATGGTACAACTTGAAATTGTACCTACACTTTCTAACAAATCCCTTTATGGTACAATTCAAAATTATACCTATGATTGTAGTACAACTTTATGTTGTACGTACACTTTCTAAAAATCTTTCTATGGTATAACCTAAACTTGTACCTATACATGTGGTACAACTTTAAGTTATACCTACACTTTCTAACAAATCCCTCTATGGTACAACTCAAAATTGTACATATAATTATGGTACAACCTTAAGTTGTACCTACACTTTCTAAACATCCTTCTTTGGTACAACCCAAATTTGTACACATACTAGTGGTACAACTTTAAGTTGTGCCTACACTTTTTAACAAATCCCTCTATGGTACAACTCAAAATTGTACATATACTTGTGGTACAGCCTTATGTTGTACATACACTTTCTAAAAATCCTTCTATGGTATAACCTAAACTTGTACCTATACTAGTGGTACAACTTTAAGTTGTACCTACAGTTTTTAACAAATCCCTCTATAGTACAACTCAAAATTGTACCTATACTTGTGTTACAACCTTATGTTGTACCTACACTTTCTAAAAATTCTTCTATAATACAACCCAAACTTGTACCTATACTAGTGGTACAACTTTAAGTTTTACTTACACTTTTTAATAAATCCCTCTATGATACTTCTCAAAATTGTACCTATACTTGTGGTACAACCTTATGTTGTACCTACACTTTCTAAAAGTACTTTTATGGTACAATCCAAACTTGTAACTATACTAGTGGTACAACTTTAAGTTGTACCTACACTTTTTAATAAATTCCTCTATGGTACAACTCAAAATTGTACCAATACTTGTGGTACAATCTTATGTTGTACCTACACTTTCTAAAAATCCTTTTATGGTACAACCCAAACTTGTACCTATACTTGTGGTACAACTTTAAGTCATACCTACACTTTTTAACAAATCCCTCTGTTGTACAACTCAAAATTGTACCTATACTTGTGGTACAACCTTATGTTGTACCTACACTTTATTAAAATCCTTCTATGGTACAACCCTAACTTGTACCTATACTAATGGTACAACCTGAAGTTGTACCTACACTTTCTCACAAATCCCTCTATGGTACAACTCAAAATTGTACCGATACCTATGGTACAATGTTGTACCTACACTTTCTCATAAATCCCTCTATGGTACAACTCAAAATTTTACCTACACGCTATGTACAATCTTTAGTTGTACCTACACTTTGTGAAACAAATTTTTCAATGGTACAACTTAAACGTGTACCTATACGATATGTTTCAACTGTAATTTGTACCTACACATGCATACATTGATTCATTATTTACAAGATTGCCATTAATGATGTGGGAACGGTCATTTAGTGGGTTTACCTCCCCAACAGGTCACTTTTTTGTTTTGGTTTTTATAGCATGGGTGCTAAGATCACACTAGAAGGGCTCATTGTCAAATAGTGTATAGTGTATAGTCTTCCTACAATTCGTCTGTAAAGTCCAAGATCTTCAAGAAGAAGACCATCATTTGCTGCAAGTCTTGTCTTCATATCAATTGGTGTAACCACTGGTTTGGAATCATCAAATCGAGTGTCATTCAATAAATCTGTGCACTACTTCTTATGACATATGTGTAATCCCTCCCTGGATCTATCCATCTCCAAACCAAGAAAGTAATGTAAATGGCCTAGATCCCTGAGTTTAAATTGATCGCTGAGATGATGCTTCAAAGCCTGCATAGCTAATTTGTCATCTCCGGCTATTATAATGTCATTAACATACACCACTAAAACAGAAGTACCAGACACTGAGTGGTGTAGAAACAGTGAATAATCATTGTGAGACTAAGTGTAACCAAAATCCAGCAGAACAGATGTAAGCTTTTCAAACCACTGTTGAGGTGCTTGTTTAAGACAATAAATGGATTTCCTTAGCTTGCATACATATCCAGGTTTGTCAATGCCAGGAGGCAATTCCATATAACTTCTTCTTCCAAATCTCCATTAAGAAATGCGTCACATCAAGCTGGATCATATCCCAGTTCTTAGCTGCTGCTATAGCCAACAAAGTCTTGACAAAATTTAATTTGGCAATTGGGGAATAAGTATCCAGTAAATATATTCCATAGATTTGAGTGAATCATTTAGCCACCAGTCTGGCTTTATGTCTCTCAAGTGTACTATTAGCACGAAACTTAGCTGCATAGACCCATCTGTTACCCACAATCTTCTTATTAGGTGGTCTGGGAACAATGTCCCATGTTCTGTTAGCATGCTATGCTGCCAGTTCTGCAGCCATTGCTTTCCTCCAGTGTTCATGTCTTGCTGCTTCTTCACAAGATCCAGGAATCATGGTGGATTCCACAACCATCACATATATGTGATAATCTGGAGACAATTGATCATAAGACAGACAAGCAACCATAGGATATAGAGGTTTAGAGTGTGTGGTTCCTATGTTCAAAACATAATTATTGTACTTGATAGGTTTAACAATGTTTCTAGATGGTTTTCTGGCAGCAATTGGAACAGAAGAATCTTGTGGTGAAATTGGGACTAGAATGGAGTGGGAATCTACAGTCACAGGGGAATGCACAGGAGAAGGAGGTGGAGAAGAAGAGGATGGAGAAGAAGTAGGATTGTCATGATGTAAAGAGGTAGAAGTATTTGGTGGTAGTACAATGTCTGGATTAGGATCAATTGGTTATATAGGTGTTGAAACCACAGGAATGGAAGGAATACGAGGGCCAGGAATGTTGTTTGTTGGTTGGATAGAGGGTGAAAAACAAGTAATGATGTCTTCATGAAAGATAACATCTTGAGACAAAAAAAACTTTCTTATCCTGTAAGTCAAACAGTTTATACCCCTCCACACCAGGAGTAAATCCTAGAAAGACACATTGTTTAGCTACAGGTAAAAATTTAGTGTTGTTATGTGCTGATGTGCTAGCATAACATAGGCATCTAAATACTCTCAAAGAAGAAAGATCAGGAGGTTGACCTTAAAGTATTTCATAAGGAGTTCTATTGGATAAAGCCACTGTAGGAAGTCTATTAATGAGATAGACAACATGAAGAATGAAATATGACCATAATTTCAAAGGAAGGCTAGATTGAAATTTGAGAGCTCGAGCCACATTCAATATGTGTTGGTGTTTTCTCTCTACTCTAGCATTTTGTTATGGGGGTTCAATACATGACATCTGATGTATGATTCCATTTTGAGAATAGAAGTCAGGCATATGGTATTCTGCACCCTGATCAGATCTAATGATTTTAACTTTCCTATCAAATTGATTGTGGATCATTACACGGAAATCTTGCAACAATTTTCTTTCTTCACTCTTAAGTTTCATAAGATATGTCCATACACACCGATATTTGTCATCTACAATGGTAAGAAAATAGTGAAAACCACTATAACTAGAAACAGACAAGGGCCCCCATATATCTACATGAATCAGATCAAAAACATTCTTGGACACAGACTGGCTTGAAGAAAATGAAAGTCTTTTCTGTTTGGAAATGTGACAAACATCACAGTGATTGATTCGGGTACTATCTATACTAGGAATAGTCTTCTTCAACTCTTGAGTTCTAAAATAAGAAGGATGTCCAATCCTCCAATGCCACAAATCAAAATACATAGGAGTGAGATTAGGAGTCTTGATGGAATTGACATGGATAGCTGTGTCTTTTGTGAAGGGTGCAAGTTGGTATAAACCTCTAGTATCTTGGGAAAACCAATCATCTTCCTGGTTAGAAGGTCCTGGATAGAACAAATGGTTGATTTGAAGGTATGTGAAATAGGTATATATTTAGTGAGTTTACTAATGGATACAAGGTTGAAAGATAAGATTGGAACAAATAAGACATCATGTATGACCAAATGGGGTGACAGTCTAACACTTCAAGAGTGCGTGGCAGAGGTTTTCGAACCATCTAGCAAGGTTATAAACACATTCTGAATAGTTCTATGTTTAATGAAACTAGAAACAGAACAAGTAACATTATCTATTGCACCAGTGTCTAGAAACCACACATTCACAAATTCCAATGGATGTTGTTGAATATATGAATTGAGAGTGTATTTACCTGCATAGTTGGAGCTAACAGAAAGTTGTCTTCCCACAGAATTCACCATTGGCTGCTGTGACTGTTGAGTAACACTGTTAAATCCAGATGATCCAGGTGAAGTAGGAGAACCACATGTATTCAATTGGGATAACATTCGCTGAAGGCGATTGACATCTTCGGTTGACAGTCTAACATTGGTGAATCCTTCAACTGATTCAACAAACCCTTTTGTTTCAAGTTTAGAAATTAAGGATCCATGTTCCAACATTATCCCTAATTTGAAGTTGTCCAGCAAAGCTGGAAGGATTCCTAGCTTCTCTATTCTTTCTTTTGAGTCTATAGCAATCTGCTATAACATGGTTATCCTTCTTACAATACCTGCAGAATAGAGTGCCATGAACACCCTGGGAACTCTTGGTATTTCTTTCCCTCATGATTGACCCGTGGCCAAAAGGTCAACTGACTCAACTTGTGAATCCTAACTAGGTTTAGCAACCTGTCTTA